GTTTACTTATGTTTATTATGTTATTATGTTTATTATTAGTGTTTTATGAGTGTTGTAATGCGTGTTGTTTTGTGTGGCAGGTGGAGAGGCGCGGGAGGAGCGCACGGGCGTGCTGGTGGGCGCGGGAGGCGGCGCGCACGAGCTTCGCGCACCGCACGCTGGCCGAGTACCTGGCGGCAGGCTGGCGTGGCGAGAGCGGCCGGCGCGGCGCGCGCGCTGCTGGGTGCGGCCGAGCTGGCGGCGCTGCGCGGGCTTCCTGGACGCGCTGCTGGGCCCGCGGCCGGCCGCTGCACGAGGCGCGTCTTGGACCGGCGCGCCACCCAAGCGCCTTGCAGCGCCTTGCTGCGAGCGGCGCCCGCACCTCGCCGCGCAGACGGACCGCGGCGGCAGGTAACGGACGACTCCTGCGGGTGCGTGCAGATCCTATGATCGGGGGGGGGCTTGTGACTCTAGCTAGATAGCAACGGGTCAAACGCACTAGTAGACGGAGGAGAATTCTAGCGGCCGGCTGCTCTGATCGGTAGTTTCTTATGGTTTCTCCTATCAATAACAGGCGAATGCCGGAGTGGTACCCCACCAGAGTACCTCTCGCGAACTTTCCTTTGAGTCTTCTCGCCCTATCTTCATTCCTTACCCTATCCTACATCATTGCCCTATTCCTCCATTCTTGTCCTATCTCCTTTTCCTTGTTCTATCTCCTTCCTCACCCTATTCTCTTCCTTGTCACATCCTCCTTCCTTGCACTATTCCACTCCCCCTTATATGTAGACACACCTGCACTGAATTAGCGTAACATGCGGTAACCGTAGAGCTAATTTGGACTTGGGGCTGTGGCCTGCTGGGGAAGAGATACCGAGAGGGAATGTCCCGCAACTCCCAGATAGCATTCCACTACACTAACGGGAATAATCTCAGCAGTTGACGTGCCCGAGACCATAAATCGATAAATGTATCCCCCCTTCTGCATGTCAACCTGCTCGTCCCTTTCCTATTTGCTGCTATACTCTAGCCATTGAAGAAAGAAGTTAAAGGAGTAGCATCACGAGAGGGTGGAGGTGAAGTGAGTGAGTTGAGGTGGAATCCGCCGTAAGTGGTTTGTGCGTACCAGGGGAGTGGTGGTGTTGTGGTCGCAGGACGGCGCTGCACCTCGGCGCGCAGCGCGGGGCTTCTCGGAGGTGCGCTGCCTCGTGAAGGCCGGGGCGCCGCTGGAGGCAGAGGAACAGGTGCTCGCCTCCACCGCCCTCTACTACGCCGTGCTCGCCCAGGTCAGGTCGCGCTTTCGCAGCCCTTCAAGTGCACCAATGACACTCGGGGGGACGTGCTCGCAGCGAGCACCCTTCTGAAAGGCTTGTTGAAGGATAAACGTATAATAATAATAATAATAATAATAATAATAATAATAATAATAATAATAATAATAATAATAAAGCCAATCCGGATAGCCCAGACCGCTAAGACAGTAATGCCGTTGCAATCTCCGAAGGAAAGATCCCGAGTTCGAATTTAGCTTCGGTCATGTGTGAGTTTGCGTTTGTCTGTAGGTGTATGTCGTAGTCTCACTCCACGCAATCATCATCGTTTTATCTTCCATACCACGAGAGCTAACTATCATAGGGGATAAAAATGTGATCCAGCGAAATGCTGATCCCGTGATAAAAGAATTACGTGCACTTGCCACAGAGATAATAGTACAGAAACCTGGTAAATGTAGTGTAAATGCAAGGTCCAAGTCGGCCTATTCGTGAGTGTTGCTGTCGTGTGTGTGTATGTGTATGAGTATGTGTATGTGTATGTGTATGTGTATGTGTATGTGTATGTGTATGTGTATGTGTATGTGTATGTGTGTGTGTGTGTGTGTGTGTGTGTGTGTGTGTGTGTGTGTGTGTGTGTGTGTGTGTGTGTGTGTGGATCTTTGAGCCGCAGAAATTGGCTCTAAAAGAGCAACCGTGAAAACTGACAATTCTTTCTTCCTCGTCACATGTGAGTTGTGCCGTAAGAATAATAACAAGAAGAAGAATAAAAATGAAAGGGGAGAAGAATAAGATCAAGAAGCTTCTTCAATTTTATTCTTCTCTTATTTCTCTCTTCAGAAGAACAAGGAAGAATGCGAAAAACTACAAATATGGAAAACGTAGGCTGTACGAAGTAGAAAGAGGAGAAGAATGCTGTGGAAAAGGAGGAAAAGAGTAATAAAGCTTTGAAGAAAGAGGAAAGAAAAATAAGCAGAAGAATAGGAAAGAGTTTATGAATAAGAAGAAAAAAGAGGAGATGGAATACAAGTAAAGGGGAAAAAAGGTGAACAACAAAAACAGAGAAAAATAGAAGAAGATAAATGACAAGATAATAATGATGACAATGATTATGGAATAGAAGAAGGATAAAAAGAAGAATATGAATGAATAGGAGAAGAATACTGTGGAGTATCTACACCACGAAAGGGGATGTAGTTCCAAGGGAGAGAAAGGGGAAGAGGAAGGGAGGTACCTTGAGGAGGAAGGCGCGCAGGCGCGCCTCGTGCGCGGGCAGCCCCACGGCCGCCTGCTCGTCGCGGCCCAGCACGGCGCTCAGCGCCGCCAGCCCGTGCTCCTCCAGAAAGAGCGGCCGCAGCGTCGCCTCCATCTCCTGCCGCACCGCCGGGAACGTCGGGTCCTTGCGCAGCTTCTCGCAGCAGTACACCTGCCGACGAGCCAACAGACCATTCATTCACAGAAGCACATTCCAATAGTCATTCCACTAGACAAATTAAACTACTTGACGCAATTCATGCTCCTAGTGTACGAATAAAACATTTTACAAAAGAGCGAGTGTTGCGTGTAACACGTTCACCTCGTGCAATTGTTGTAATGATCGAATACGTTAAATGTGTTGCATCCGTATTCCTAACTAAAAATGTATTAAGGTTCGAGTATAAAAGTTCAAGTGTAATAAACGAACGATACACTGAAATACTTTTCTTCTACAACACTATACATGTGGTGAGCCCGAACAAAGACAGTTATTTATTCCTATTTTATCCCCCCCCCGGCTTGCTATCACAAGGTGCTATATATCAATCATACGAAGCAATGTCATATGAACTTGCAGCAAAAAAAACTTAATATTTGGCACATTCTGAAACATTTTTGGATGCATTCCATCCATGGAGTCTTCTTATAAATATCATTCGTGAATTGCAAAGTTCGAGATAAATTTCCTTCTATTCATGGTATTACTCACGTTAAGCTTTGGAATTAACTGTCATCTATTCAGGTGGCAGTCAATATTTTCAAGCTTAGAAAATAAAAACAGGTATGAGACCAGTCCCCTGAAAAATTTAATGTAAATCAACAGTAATATTCTCCTTTAAGTGAGCTTACTTCTTTGTTATATGTAATATCATCTATTATCCGTTCACTCAAACAAAAGTCCTGATATAAACAAATGCACATGTGTTTTCATTGGTTTGCAGTGTGAGCTCTGCTGTTGTCAGGATAATGACGCTAAAGAAAATAGTTCACTGTTTAAGAACTAATTTATCTACCATCTTTTGTTAAGCTAACCTTGCGTCAAAACTATTGCAACGGTTTCGAGAAAGGAGATCATTGTGAACTGAATGCGTGTTGCAGGGCGATAAGGTTACGAGCCTCTGTTGGTTCTGCCCACGAACGGGCTGATCGACACGGGTCGGGCACGTGGGACGTGGGTTGTGGTGCATCCCACTGCAAACCCCTGCTATTCAGTTCGTTTTAGAATGTCTGAAAGTGCTGGCCCTTCAATAATTAAATACAAATGTGGAAAGTTTCTTCGGAGTAGCGAAAAGCGTATCGTTATGAACGTTTTCAATTCTTTATTGCATAGGAATACGTGTGGCAAAACGCTCTGGTATATCCCTGCCTAGCGTATTGAAACTCCAGAAAAAGCTCACTGACACAGGACAACTACCAAGGCCAGAGAATAAAAAAAGGGCAAGAAACTGTGATTGAATCATACAATGGCTGTGATCAGTGCTGTTCGATCGAATTCCGTACATCAAAAGGGCAAAAGTGCAGAAACGCTAGCGAAATTCATGCAGCTTGTGAATTGTGATCAAGAACTTGCGAATTCTAGGCCAACTAATTTATACAAATATCGGAGAGCATTCTGTTATTGAGAACCGCTTTCTGAAGCAGACTGATCGCAAGTAAAGTAGTTGCATGAGCATGACATTTGCATGAGAGATATTCAATTTGAATTGGCGGAATGTGCTGCTCGTGTAATCGAAAGTAGCATGCTAGGGGTTGTCTAATCAAAAGCGTAGTGCGGCGTAAAGATTTCTTCAAGTTGTTTACATCAGGTTTTTTGTTCGGGTGAAAGGATAATGCTCAAAGATATATATACACAAAAGTATAAACAACTTTTCCTACAAATAAAATGCATGCTCACTAACAACTCAATATAAGAAAAAAATTCAAAGGGGGTATTTTGATAAGAAAATTAACACTCAGTTTTGTATAATATTTATCTTTTATAGTGTGTACTAGTTAAGTTAATTGTATGTTAATAAATTCTGTTATTTTCTGTTATTTAAAGTATTTTATGTTTCAAGACAATCATATTTTTTTCATTATGGTACTATTTACTAGCACTTAGTACGCATGAATTAATTTCACCGTCTTAAAACAAGGTAATGAAAATAAGAGCGTTTTTCAATCTTTTAATTTGGCGAACCTCGAACTTGCGCTGCACCAGGCGCTCCACAAGGTCCACGAAGCGGGGACGACGGCGGCGCCGGTGACCTCTCTCGCCTCCCTTGTCACCGTCGCGCTCGTCCTCGGTGTTTTCCTCCTCGTCGTCGTCGTCGTCGTCGTCGTCAGCGTCCGCGCCGTCAGCGTCGCCCTCGCCCGCCGCCAGGGCCTCCGCCAGCAGCTCCACGTGCAGAGGCGCGCCCAGCACGCCGCCGCTGGGAACACACGCGCACGCTGAGGGTGAGGCTCACTCCACATGCATTCGAGTAAACTTCGATTTAAATTGAGTGACTTCTGACAGACCATCGGCTCGACGCGGTTATGCAATCAGGAACTTCCCAACCGAGCGCCCAGGCCGATTATAACACCGTAGGCGCAGCATCGCTGTGTCACTGCCCTGAGGATGCCTGTGGCATGACAGGCGAAACGTCGGCCTCTCAGCCAACGACGCGGCGTCACCCGGACAGCCAAAGAAGTCATTATCAGGAACTTCGTTACGACATAAATTTTCAGAATTTAAGTTTCCGAGTGGATGACACATCTGATGATCTGTCAGAAGTCACTACACTTAAATCGGAGTATATTGGGTGGTTCTATAAAGTATGTAAGGCTCAATGTAGATGAAATAGGTATCATTTTTATAGGGCAAAATGATAGCGTTTTTAGTAGAGCTTATTTTGTCGAATCCTGATCTTTCAAAAAAAAAGTGGTTGTGTAGACAAGGTCAACGAAGCGTGAAGAAATGTACATGACGATACTTCCTTAGAACATTTATAGTAAAAATGAAGATTTTTATATAATACAAAGCCTTGTATTTCGGAAAGTAAAATAGAGTAAAAATGAGTTGTAGCAAAATAAGGCAATTGAGTACTCGTATTTCGCAAAAAAGTATTTATTTATATGAAATTGTGTTAAACGAAGGTGGGACGTATTACGAAAAGTGTTTAATGACTGATGGCCGATATCACAAATGCCGCACTTGAATATAAACTTAGTCCATCACCTCAATTTACCTCAAACAACTCAATCGCGTCTGTTTCACTTCATTTAAATACGTTAATAACTATTTCGCGGACCGTTGCTATAACGACAAAAAAACGCACCTAAAAATAGAAACTAAAAGTCAGCGGCCGATATTGATTTTATCGGCCAGCATCCATTGACAACAATCGTAAAAAATATAAACATTCTAACTAACGACTTGAAGTTATGCTACACCCCAAAACGGTATTTCCTTTTTATATTATCTTTGTCGTTAGAAGAAGGTGGTTTCTCAAAAAGTATTCCACGATCTTTATCTCAAATAGGGCCTAAAGGTTGTCACCTCGGTTCACGAACTTCAACCGCGTCCGCTATTTGCCGTTTATCAACCTAGTGACGTTAAGGCTAAATGTCCCGACACTAGTACAATTTGTAGCCACCACGTGGCAGCACCAAAATAAGTAAAATTTACTTTACCGATAACGTCTGAACCAATCGTTCGATTTTCGATCTGTAAACGGCACTTGACGCCTTTTTAAAATAGAATTTACGCTACGATGACCTTTTTCCAACAGTCTAACAAAAACGCGAATTTAAATTAGTTCCAAAACTTCCGAGAACAAATTTAAAAAAGGGGCCTTATAGCGCGATGGCGACATGCTTCTTGAATCCAACGCCGTGACAATCATGCAAATCGGACGATTAGGAGCGTCGTAAAGCGAAAGTTACGAAAACATCTCGCCCCCCCTACTTCCTCTTCAGCGCCGTTGCGTCACCCACCCGCCCGTTGTGGGCCCTCTGTCAGTGCGGTGGCACGGCCAGGCCCGGCGGTTAAAGCGGTGCTACGTCTAAGATTAATTTGTAGCCCTGCAAATAATTCAGCAATTAAAAAAGAACTATCCTTTTTTAGCTTATGGGTACTAGCCTGCAATGACGCAGTTATGCTCGTATTAACAAATAAGAGTTGACACCCTTAAGATCATCTTCTTCCCCTCTACTCCAAGGAAGGGTTCATGACCTGTTCTGACTTCTACCAATTTCATTTCTATAACGATCTGCCTCTGTGTCTTCTACCTCGCGTTCTACACATAAGCGCTTGCTTTAGAAAGCTTGTCAGTCCCATGTATCGAAGTCATTCCTCCCTTCACTCCCTGAAGTCAGAAAGATAGTATTTTGCCATTGATTGCTTGAACAATTAATTTTCATCATATTTCGCGTCGCGCTTCTGGCCTGTAGTCCTATGGCGAGAGAGACAACTCGCATAGTCGAGGCTTGCGAGCAAACCGCATGGGTGAACAAATGAGCATCAGCACGAAGATTTCATTCGTTATCGAATCCCGCCAAGCGATTTTCGACGCTAACTGATATATCGCTAGTTCACTTGACAATGCCTCCCACGCTGGAGAATGGCCGGTCGGCAAACACATTCGTTAATTTGTTTTGGCCGTGTACAACGAATTCCGCTGGCTGGGTGCATTCCGAGAACTGCGCCCAGACTAACACCTGCACTCGGGCACTTGAACCGCAACACCTGCACTTGGCCCGAGCTTCCCAACCGTTTGTTCTGTGTACAGACCGTGTCATTATATAACTATTCAATTATAATTGAACTACAAATATTGGAATATTTTGTATCTCTACGAAAATGTAAATGTGTGTTTGTGTGAAAGAGAGTGTGTGTGTTATTTGCCTGTAATAGATCGAAAATGAAAACTGTAATAATTATTTACGAAATATGTAACGTAATTTCATCCATTACTTTACGAGATCAAATCGTACAAACAGAAATATCAAGATTGTAGGAAGATAAACCATGGAACTCTACCATATACCGATGACGTAGCAATCCTGGTGCCACCGTGATTTTCCCTTCTCCCTTGCGGTCGAGCAAGCAGTATATTTTCTGGAACTTTTGGATTTTTTTCATCTAGACCTACCACTGTTAAACAGGTTATATTATTTTAAAAATATTTAAAATGACCAACTTGCCACATGTCATACTTTTCAAGAAGTGCGTATAATGTTTTTCCGTAAATGCCATCACTTAGTCTTTGTATTTGAAATGTTTAAATAATATACTATGTGATTTTGATGAAATTAATAAACAGACTTTGTAAATTACCTTATATTTTAGGATCAAAATTATTTTTGTATGAAAGTTCATAAATATCACGCAAACACGTTTCGGTCGTTTATGAATGTGCCGTACATTTTTCCAGCATGTTATCTTCAGATGCAAAAAGACGAACAACAGTGAGAACTATTGGGTAGCTATAAATAATCTAGTGACTTCATGACATAGTTACCATAGGGTAAAGTGAATGAGAAACGAAATAAAAGAAAGTCTATAATTCTATCTAAAGATGAAAAAGAATTCGTGCACACACACAGGGAGTGACTAACGGACGGACAGTCGGCCTGACGGACGGACAGTCGGCCTGACGGACGGACAGTCGGCCTGACGGACGGACAGTTGGCCTGACGGACGGACAGTCGGCCTGACGGACGGTCGGTTGACATAACGGAAAAACCGCCTGACAGACGAACGGCCTGACGGAATGACTGACGGACGAACGGCTTAACGGACGGACTGAAAAATGGACAGACTGACGGACGGACGGACGGACTGACGGGCGGACTGACGCAAGGACTAACGGAAGGATTGACGGAAGGACTGACGGAAGAACTGACGGAAGGACTGACGGAAGAACTGACGGAAGGACTGACGGAAAGACTGACGGAAGAACTGACAGAATGACTGACGGAAGGCCTGACGGAAGAACTGACGGAAGAACTGACGGAAGAACTGACGGAAGAACTGACGGAAGAACTGACGGAAGGACTGGCGGAAGGACTGACGGAAGGACTGATAGAAGGACTGATGGAAGGACTGACGGAAGGACTGACGGAAGGACTGACGGAAGGGCTGACGGAAGGACTGACGGAAGGGCTGACGGAAGGACTGACTGACAAAATAGTCAAAATAAACAAAATAGTCAAATAGTTATAATACTCAGGATAGTCATATCGACTTGTTGGACGGATCCGTCAGTTGATCGACTTGCCAGGTCAACCACCTACTTCATCGACCTGCTGGCTCGATCCCCCACTTGATCGACTTGCTGGGTCGATCACCCACTTCATCGACTTGCTGGGTCGATCACCCACTTCATCGACTTGCTGGGTCGATCACTCACTTGATCGACTTGCTGGGTCGATCACTCACTTGATCGACTTGCTGGGTCGATTAATCACTTGATCGACTTGCTGGGTCGATCAATCACTTGATCGACTTGCTGGGTCGATCACTCACTTGATCGACTTGCTGGGTCGATCTCCCACTTGATCGACTTGCTGGGTCGATCTCCCACTTGATCGACTTGCTGGGTCGATCACCCACTTCATAGACTTGCTGGGTCTATCACCCACTTCATAGATTTGCTGGGTCTATCACCCACTTCATAGATTTGCTGGGTCTATCACCCACTTCATAGACTTGCTGGGCTGATCACCCACTTCATAGACTTGCTGGGTCTCGCATTTGATGGACTTGTTGGGTCGATTCCCCACTTGATCGACTTGCTGGGTCGTTCCCCACTTAATCGACTTGCTGAGTCGATTCCGCACTTGATCGACTTGATGGGTCGATCTCTCACTTGATCGATTGCTGGGTTGATTATCCACTTATGGATTATGGTTGGCTTAACAAGTATAATAGTTTGCTTACTATGATCACGGTAGGCTTAACAAGGATCATTGTTGGTTTAAGAAGGATATTGGTTGGCTCAACAAGAATTTGGTTTGCTCATCAAGGATAATTGGCTTAACATGGATCATAGTAAGCTCAACTAGGGTCATAGTTAGCTTAACAGGGATCATGTTTGGCTTAACAAGGATATTGGTTGGCTCAACAAGGATATTGGTTGGCTCAACAAGGATATATGTTGGCTCAAAATTGTTATGGGTGGCTCAACAAGGATATTTATTGGCTCAACTAATATATTGGTTGGCTCAAGAAGGTTCATGGGGTGCTGAACACTGATTTTGGTTCGCTCAACATGGATATTGGTTGGCTCAACAAGGATCTTGATCCGCTTAACAAAAATCATGGTTGTCAAGAAGACTCCCAGTTCCTGCAATTTAACATACACTGCATTCACGAGACTAATCACCATACATCAAAGCTCTCTAATAAATGAATCTTTTAGATAAGTGTGAGTGGAAATGCCTTTAAGAAACATTGTTCGATTTTAAATCGTAACTCTGAAGACAAATAGATGTTCTAAGAAATATAGACACCAAAACAGAACTAAAAAACAGAAAAATTATCGTAGATTTACTACTTATTGACATTCTGGACGTTATAAATGTTAACTCAAATTGTTGAATATTTCTTGCGCC